CATTGGTGGGGCAGAACAACAAGTGTCTTAAGAATTTTTGATCGTATTATCAAGACGCTTGTATAGTGTTCATTAGACGTTAATGCTAATTTTACGACTTCTTTTTATTTCACTAATTTGGATTTTTAATTTAGTTGGATCAAAAGTTTGCAAGTCGATATTTATTATCAGAGAATTGTTGCTTCCATATACGTTTATTCAGTGTAGGCTAAACTTTACATGGCCATCGTTAAATTCTTGTCGAGTTTTTTAATTCATACAATTTGGATAAAAGCATTTGTTTATTGAAATTATGAAAATTTAAAATTCTGAGCTGATTTCCCTTTGCCATTTGTGTATCATCAACTAAATTCGTAAATTTTTACAAACAAATAAATAATTAAGATTTCGTTGTTAATTATTATTGAAGGATAATTCATAATATTTGCATTATAATCTTATTATTATTATTTCATAGCACGGGCAAGCTCCTTGCCATCACAAAACAAAACTCAAAAAACTAAGCAAAATAAAGGTTAAAGGAATAAAATTAAATAAAACATAATTAAACCATCATTCGATTCGAATTATCAACCGAAAAATGACTGTAAATAAAAATATTAAAGAAATTTTCTACAGACATCAATTAGAATTAAACAATTACAATAAATTAAAAGTTTGCTCGCCAATTAAACTTTATATCACCAAAAAAATCATCAATTGTCGATTTAAAAACAGACAGAGAATCCGCATTAACAGCAACCGAGGGCAGCATATTCCAATCTTCCACCACTCTATTTGAGAAGTAGAATTTATGACAGTCTTTATGAGAAATTGAGGCTTTTAACTTGAGGTTATGTCCTCTTGTACGCTCATCGCCCAAAAAAAACAAAGTAGGTCCAATATCAGCCGAAACACCCTCGTGTATTATCCTATAAACTAATATAAGATCGGCTCTTCGTCGTCTGAAGGCAAGAGACGGCAAACCCAGTTTCCTCAGTCGATCATCGTATGAAAGATTTCTACAAGACTTTATCAAACGAGTTGCTCTTCTTTGTACCTTTTCCACCTCGTCTATTAGTCCAACTCTATAAGGATTCCACACTTGAACTCCATATTCCANATGCGATCTC